GGTGGTGCCGTCTGCGATGATCTTGAAAATTTCGCTTCAAATAGCAAATAAATTTGTGTTCTTGTATTGGGGAAATAGGATGAACAGTAAAGTCAAAAAATACTAAGACCTCCCGAATAATAATTGGTGTGAATATCTCACGTCAAGAAATATCGAGATTTATCGGAAGGGACCTAACCTCTCTGTGGAAATAAGTAATTATTATAAATGATGCATCTGACATGTTGATAGAGTGCGCTATCGATAGTTTCATGAAACGTGTACTTTTTCTTAGACATATAGGAGGATACTAGTAGCAAATTCATGATATCCTAAAACTATATACATATGGAAGAATTCTAAAGAAGTAGCACACGGACTCTTAGTCTGTACAGACAAGGCCAAGCAATGAATTTCCAAAAATTCTGATTCACAGATTTGATTTATTAAGCAAAAATTTGTCGGCCTTTTAAAATTAATAATAATAATGACAGTAACAATGATAATGACAATGGTGTTAATAATAATAACAATAATAATGATAAAATAACAGAACTTTAAAATTGCTTACGATAGCGATTGATTGATGCTTGTTTTCATCGTTTTACAATTCATTTTTTTTTTTTTTTGTTATACACATATGCACACATATGCACGCATACACACACATACACACATGCACACACTCAAATACACATACAAATAAACATACACACATCCTTAAAAACACGCTCAAAAGTTAATTTATGAGCGCAATAAATGGTAGAAAGTTATTACAATTTCTCGTTCTCTGTGCGTATTTTTGAACTTTCTTTTTTTTTTCTCGAGAACAGAAACTCCTTCATGCAATGTTTACGTTTTTTCCATTTTTTTCCCACATTTCAGCAAAAGTTTTCTTTTATAATCCTCGCAAAAAAGTAGTTTATACAGGAGGGCAAAGCAGAGGGGAGCGAGGGGAGGGGGAAGTGGAAGGGTGAGAAGAAACAACGAGCAAAAATTTGTTGATTTCTTTAAGGAAAAATTAACAATTTTTGAAGGCGAAGAAAACAGCCAAGAAAAAATGCTTAATTTTTTCTTAAGAAAAATCAACAATTTTTTGCCAGTTGTTTTTTTCTCGCCTTTAATATCTTTTAGCCAGTAAGGTACCTCATCGTGATCTATTAGTGGCAACGGTCATGGCGAGTTGGTGATGTTTAATACCCACACACGCAAACCCACACACACTCACACATACACACACACACACACACATACACACACATCAAGAACAATTTGAAACGAAATGACTAAAGCTTTGCCAAATGTTTTTGAAAATTGCCACGTTAGTGGAGACGAAATGAGCGTCAAAATTGCCACAGATTAGCCGTCAGATAAAAACAGTTATCAATGCAATGGCATTTGGAGAAACAGCTGATCAGAGTCTCAAAATATTTAAATATTCCACTTTTTTTGAGGTAAACAGGCCAATTTATCGGTTCTTTTGCACTTTTAAAGCCCATTTGTGATAAGCAGCATGATTTGAATGTTGATGGATTGAAGTGTTTGTGGTATCCGACTAACCATCAAGGTCGTCCGGATTTCTACTTTATTCCAGTACTGGGGGGAAGGCAGTTACCAATATTTTTCTATCTTTTCCAGACATGAGGCGAGTTTGGAGAGGGGGGAGGGGAGAAGTCGCTGGAGGACCGGGATGTTGCACAAAAGACATAGCCGAAGATGGAAATAAGCGGTGGGGGGCGCCCAGCAGGAGCCATTAAACAATTATTCAAAGAAGCAAAGGAATGCTTGTTCAGCTGCTTTCAGCAGAGCAACGCACGTCTGTCCATGAAAAGGGGAAAAAGTGATAGTAGCGTTTGCTTTAAATTTTAATTATATATTAAATTCATGGAGATTTTTAAAAAAATATGTTATTGGAGAAAAGGGATGAAATATATAATATCGAAAAAACCGTTAAAAAATTTTCTCAGTGAAAAAGACTATTGAAAACTTGGAAATTCCGATGTAATTTTATAATTCTAGCTGTTCTTCCGACATATCGGGGGTACCAGTCGATTATTTTCGTTTCGTATTTCTGTCATCCTTATTCTTCGTATTTTCAAATTTTTGCGTTTAACAATAGTTCTTTATTTATTGTAGTCATGCAAATATATATATGTGTCTGCATCTGTCTGTATATGCTTGCATATGCGTGTATGTGTGTGTATGCGTCCGTATGTGTTTACATGCATCTGTACTTACATATATGCTTTTGCGGACGTAACAAACATCAAATTCTAATTAATGTCAGGCTGGTTTTTCTGGTGGCTTCATTTTTCCCTCATTCGCAATGAACTTTTTGTTTACGCCAAACTTGCGCCTTTTTTTTCATTAATTTATGAGGATTGGTTGTAAGGAAAATTTTGTTAAATTATTTAGGAGGGATTTGAGGTAAGGGCAAAGAGGATGGGGAATAATCGGAAGAGGGGCTGTGTGAGGGATGAATGATGTTCTTGAGCTGGTGATGGGATTTCCTTCAGGATTCTCTCCCCTCCTCCCTCTTTGCCCCTTCCTCCACCTCCTATCACGTGAAAAGCCAACGATTTTTCCTCCTCCTCCCTCGCCTCCCTCGAGTTCTTTGATAATTCGCTCAAAACAGTTGTTCGCACTCAGCAGAACAAAGACCAACGAAGCCGCCGGCGGCTTTGCTTTTGAAATAAGTTCAGTTCATGGAAAAGCTCTCAGTAGCAGCAGTAAAAAACTCGAAAGCAACAACATACTGGTGCTTGAAATTTGCTTCTTGACGGCTCGGTGAAATTAGATTTTTCAAGTGCACCTCAGATCTGCCCGCAACTTATAAACAAAGCTTTGCGGGAGGTCTCATCATGTAACAACTGTGCTCAAAATCGCCCCTGAATTCTCAAGCACTGAAATTGGATTGATATTTCTGCTTTGCAACAATAAACAAAAAACACAGCACAAAAAAATCTCCGCTCATGCCTTACAAGATTATGCATGAGGCTAAGATGTATGCAACTTAATGCACCGAAACATACTACTTATCCTAGCTGCTACCGTTATATGCATATATATATATATATATATATATATATATGCGTGGTCACTCTGCTCACTTTCGTCTCAGTCTCCCAAACGTCCCACAATATCTCCCGACCCCTGTCAGTCTTAGAGCGCAATGAAATTCGACAAGATGTATCATTCAACTGTGACAGGATAAATCATTTAACTATTACGTATCATTCGGCTATAGGATAGGATAAATCGATTTCTGATTTCAGGTGAATTCGAGTAGCGTTGATCGGATGCTCGACGATTTAATGGTGCCAGCTGGAGATTACGATACACCACCGACACCGATGTTGCCGTGGTGGTTCACGGCCGAATGCGAAAGTCAACTTCTGGCTGCATCGGCCCCGGTACCGTTCATCCAGTTACCGTTGATGAACATTCCAACGACGGTTGCTGCTGCTGCGCCACCACAGCCACCGCAATCGGTAGTACCTTCACGAAAT